GGGGGGGGGTCTTCCGAACCTCCCGAACCCCCCCTGGCTACGGGCATGAGGCGCAAAGTAGTTTGGGTTGCGTCTCCACAGACGTCTGTGATCCCATACTGTGACCTTGGGGTAGCTCTGCACAAGTCCCTTCAGCGCCTCCGTGAATTTGTGAAGGCGCTGTGGAAAGTCAGACATGTTAGGTGGAATATGGAGACTCCAGATATCTTGGGAACCTTGGACGAGCGCCCAGTCTGCTTTCTGGTGGAGACCCCCTGGGTGTACACGTAGCGTGTCTATTATATATGGCAATACCTATTTAAAAAGCTCATCCTTATTTGGTAATACTTGCGTGAGATACCATTCTTTCCTATATATACCTTCACGTACTTCCTAAATAATCAAACATAAATCCATACGTATGTGAGTTACAGCTAAGGGTACACATTTCATTCGTTGATGCATGCATCATATTAGCACCCCCAAAAACAAACAATACAACTTCCTACATACAATGCGGTGTTAAAAACACACACATTTTAAAATACTAGTAGTACTAAAACAACAACCCGTTATAAGAAAAATTCCTTTTACCCAAGGTATATCAAAAGGGTTACAAATTTATACTATTATATTATTAAAATACTCACGTCGCCGATGTGTTTTTTAAACACCGCCCTTGTTTTTTTTTTTTCGCCCGCCCGCTCCATTATTTTCCTAGAAAAATCTGTTAACCAAGAAATTAAATTGGTGTGGTCTTATGGCTGGTGCTAAAACAGCCCATAGAAGGCCACCACAAACTACTAGAATGTTAACAAACATGACTGACAGCTGTGATTCAACTGGGCTGCTAATGAACTTTTACACTCAGTTTGGTAAGGCATCATATTCTGGCACTTCCACTTTCTGCACTAACTAAATAATGCACAGTTTATTCAACGTACATGTACATGCTTTGGAAAGGAATGACCAGAAAATTTACTTTTTGTACATCCCAATGTTCTATGATATTTATAATGTTAATGCAGCTTTAAATCTGTTTGAAATGTGAGCACACCCAAATGTTAAAGTTATGGGTAGAAATAATTGTTCCCCTTTTTTGTACGGATTTGTAATGACATGCAAACGCTTGCAGGTAAATGTGCATGTAATCTGTTGTCTGCTTTCAGTCCTGAGTTAATTCTGTTTCATTACAAAATATGATGAATAACAGCATAAAGCATCATGCTTGTGAGATACATTGTACCTCATAATGCGCATGAAAACTATAATAATTTTTTGTATAAAAATTTAACATGTGTATTTGAGGCAATGGCTCTCCTCTCTTCTGTCGGCAGCTAGTTACAGGCAACTGAGTTTTTTCCAGTCCAGTCTGTTTTTTGCAAGGTCGCCAATCTGCTTTGGTAGAACATAGTGTCAGTAAACTGAGCTTGTAACATCTTTTTGTCAAATGCACATCAATCTGCCATCCTGAAAAATCTCCAATGCAAATTGTCAACAAGTGAATTGCACTCTTGCATATCTGGGGATTGCCGTGCTAAAGAGCTCTCAAACACACTGTTTTTTCAAAGTGGTGAGTGCAATGATTGCATAATGTTAATGGAGGTCACCCCTATGTTATGTGAAAATGTGAAAGTTTTATGTGGTGGAAATAACATGTTTCCTTAGACCACACATTAAAATTTCTTGGCTTTCAGATTCCGCCCTTCACTTGAACATCACTTTTTTTAATTGAACAACTGGAACAGTCCTCCTATTTATCAATGCACCAAAGTTTGCACCAGCCTACTGTGTTGACTTTGTGGCATGAAAATGAATAAAATTGTTGCAAACGTGACCCTACATCTATGTGTATCTGTTTGTGTAGATTTGTAGGTTCAGGCTCATCCCTGTTGTCAGCTGTCATCAGTGGAACTGTGCAGGTGTACAACTTCCAGTCTCAATATGGCTTGACACAGAGCCAGGTAGGCAACATGAAACAGGAACCATCCCTGGTCTTTTCTTCATCTTCAATAATTGTTCTTTTAACAGCATTGCTACCCGTCAGTTCCACCTATAGATCTGGCTTGTTTTTCACCAATGTAAAATGTAGTATCTTTTTATGGAAGTCTAAAGGGAAACAAAATTTAGACAAGTCAAGACAAGATGAAAACTAGAAAGGACGACATTTGCTTGGGAGCAAATGCAGCAAATGGCTTCACCACTTCCCCGTACCAAAAATGGACCTATCCCCCTAATGCACGAAATGGATTGTTCCTAAATCACCCCTCTCCAAAATATGAAGTGTTCCAATAGTCTTTACCCCATGTATAGCAATGGAATTGGAATCTTCCAACGCCTTCTGCTGTCGGAACATGTAGAACCAGTAACGTTACATGTATACTACAGGTTGTATTTAGAACTGTCAGTTGGGGATTTGAGTTTTTAAGCTACAATCGCTATTTCTACTCAAAGTAAGATAAATAAAAGGGCTAAATCTGAATAGTGAATACTATAGTGCAAGCATTTGGTGCCAAGCTACCCTTATGGAGAATTTCAGGTCATTTAGTTTTCGTATTAGTGCACAGGGGCCCAAAAAGTAACGTTACATTTTTGTCCGATAGCCAAAAATCCCTATTTTACACAATTTTAAAGTGGTGTATGTCAAAACTGTGAATGACATTTTTGGACATGTGTCCAAGATATCCCCATACCAAATTTCAGGTCATTCGGATTTAATATTAGGGCACAGGAGCCAAAAATGTTACATTTTTTTGTCTGAAAATATCCAAAAAGCCCTATTTTACACAATTTCAAACGCTTGAATGCTATTCTGTAGACATGTGTCCAATGTATCCCCATACCAAATTTCAGGTCATTTCAGTACCAGGGCTCCAGATCCCAAAATGTATATTTTTTGCCTGAAAATGGCCAAAAACCCAAATGAAACAATAATATTATTTGAACGTATGTTTCAACATAATTTAAAAACAAAACGTCTGGGGGTATTTGCCCATTCTACCTCGGGTCATTTGGCTAAAAAAGGGCACAGTTGAATCCCTTTAAAGAAATGGCAGGAGGAGAAGGAGAAACATGAGAGAAAACAATATGTTTCACCACACCACAACATGCAGTAATACAGGAACTTTTTTCTTCAAATGGTTGCCTTCACCACTCCCGTAATGAGGGAAAACAATATGTTTCACTTTATGGTGTGGTGAAGTCATAATTAAAACAACCATTTGAAGAAACAAGTTCCTGTATTACTGCATGCTGTGTACATGTAGGTTGCTCATCGAGTTATCATTATAGTTACATGTAAATGTGTATTGTAGGAGGCATTACAGGGGGATTTTACTTATTCAGGAATTACATGTATGTCTGAAACCTCCTATCAGCTAGAAATCTCCAATTTCTTATCTGTATGTCACAATAATGCACAATGATAACAGTGATATAAAACTACATATACATGTACATTACATGGTCATTTCTGTTGACTATAATGTGTGTCTAAACAGGCAGAAGCAGTGAGTGACCACTATCCTATAGAACTGGAGCTGGCCACACGACAACTTGGTAATATTGGTAGGTCTTTGTCAATCTCCATTTCTCACATTAATCAGGTGAAAAGGAGGCGAAACTTGAATTGTACATGGTTGGCTCAACATACCCCGTAGTCCAGTGAAGCAAATTTGTTTGGTGCACTTACTTGAAATTGTTGTTTTAATATTCTTTTTTTTTTTGTGGTGGCCTGCCCATGGCAAATCACTTGTAATGTGTTTCCATTTAACGAGAAAAGAGGTTAACCTCCTTGCATTCTGAATGGTGCTGTTACTGCACTTTAGAATTGTTTCAGTTGCAAACTTTAAGCACTGTGAAAACCTTTCCCTAGGCCTCCTACCATGACATTAAGGCCATGCAAAAATAATTGAATTTACAGTAGCAGCAATATGACTAGTGAGGAATTTATGCTATTTTGCTCAACAAGAATTTTCTATGGTTGCTTGCCTTCTATTCCAACTGAAGATCATGACAGTATACTTTTTCACCTCGGGGCACAATTCCCAGTAAGGGGGTCATAATAGGAACCCATGGCCAATTACAGACATTTTTTACTTAAACAAGTACTCATTCATAAGTGTGAAGTAGTAGTGTTTTCACTAAGTGTTTAATAAAATGCCACTTTAAACCTCCTTTAATGTCCTTCTTAACACTTTAAGTTACTGACAAGAGCAGAGGAGGCCAGTCTGGAGGGAGAGCAGACCTGACTAGAACAGTTGTAGGATCCCTCCTCATCACCACCTGGCTGTGGACCAGTCAGGTACTTTAGGATGGCTCCAAAATATCTCCAAGGCAGCAGAGCAAGAGATAATGCAATGTCATGTAGTATTCAAAAGTTTTTTATATATCAAAAGCATTTATATTATTTCAACTGGAAATGTCCAGAATTCCTCCGCAGCTATCTGTCAACATGTCATAACCAATTTATACAATACATGTAATTGCAATGAGATATATGTTTGGTCCATTGATGAACCCTTTGCAGGCAGAGGGTTAAACAGCTACATGTATCTTGGAAATCTTGGATCAATGGGGAAGTCTATTGTAAAATGTTGAAATTTGCTGCAGGTCTTGTTGCTACTAAGCTTTTTGTATAAGAAGACTACTCTCCAAGCAGAGGTTGATGAGGAAGATTGTGACCTTTTTAATATATTCCCTTGTCAACACTAGACAAGTGTTTATTGTTTAATGGTAATTGAAAGATCTCAATTAGTGAGTACAATGTATACTAACGGGGGGTGTCCTAACATTGCACGTTTTTTCACGCACTTGAACTCACTGCACTCTATCGCTAGTTGTCAGAGAGTGGTCAGGTTTTGATGACTGAATTTTTAAAACATTTGTGCAGACATGGAGTAGGGAACATACTTGAATAAGAAATGCATCCATACTCTTCATGAACTGTTCACTCTCCACATTACAAGTGGCAAACGCTGTGAGACGTTTTTATGAATGTACCTTCGTGAATGGCTAACGCTAGACAGTTTGCCCTAACTTTGCACGCTTTTGTAGTTTTGCTGTCTTCACAACTTTTATGAATTTAGGTAAACAGAAATAAGAACGGGTAGACGGGCCCAGTTGACTGGGCCTAGTTGGTAATGGTCGTTTGGCACTCCCATAAAAACTGGCCAAGTCACATGCACAACAATTGTACAGGATAAAAAGTATGGCATCTACTAGTACATTAGTTGTACTACCACCATACCCTCGCATTTTTGGAAACACGATCCATGCATGTGTCTCTTGTTACAGAAAAGAGCCATCTGTAAAAATTGTTCATGGTTCTATCACAACCTGCTTGAGCATTTTACTGGCACAAAATTGTGCAACAGTCTGAATGATGAATGTGAGTACAATATTAAACAAAACATTGTTCTTTCCACTGGTTCTTTTTGCTTTCTGCCATTTTCTAATACACTAAAGCAGATCTTCCTAGCATGTTGACCCCTGACCTACACGTGGTTTCTGATCAGTACTGAGACTTGCAGCACCGGTCCAACAGGTGAGAACCTTGAACAGACTGGCTACGCCGCCGCACAAACATAATCTATGGGTCAGCATTGTTAGCTTTGTACTTTGGACTAACACAAACAGAAGAAGAAAAGGTTCTATTGGCCATGGACCAAATTTTTATCTGTTTGCATTTTTTACAAGTGTCGTAGATTAATGTTTGAATCACAGTTCACCTTCTTGACTTACTGACGGTTTGCCGGCCACTCACTGAGTTCACCTTCACGTCACCTTAAATATGTCACTGCCCATAGTTTACAATAGGACAGGGACTTCAGAAAAACTCAATCATGGTCACCAAAGTTCTATGACAGGAATAACATTATCATAAATTATCTTTTCTTTGTTGAACCCCATCCCTGTTTGTAACTGTAACATGTCTCCACTTATTCTAATTTTCAGGTTCATCGAGACTTCTTTGTTTTCATCAGGTATTTTTAGTCGTGACCAATACTTCCATAAACTCATCATAAGCCAAAAGCTCGCCTTTTAATTAGCTGGCCTCTTATTCAAACCACCATGTGAAACAGCATGTAGCAGTGTTCAAATTAATGGCGGCTGTATTATGCAGTCAAAAACCCTGTTAAAATTTAAATGGGAAGGTACCAATGATAAGCAGCCACAGTCTAGGACCCTGGTTCAGATGTTAGAAGCAGTACAGAAGGGGGCAGTCGGTTTCATTTTTGGGGATTACAGATAAATGTATATACATGTACATGTATACAACCAGCGTGTATCACACCTTCAGTCCTCATTAGGTTTCCCCACTCTTCTGCACATAGAAAACAAGCATGTCTGACACCCATGTATTATCAAAGCTGTCAATCTCATAGTACAGTATCCCTATACAAACACATCCGGGGACATCCTCTTAGTTTCATCACACTTACCCTGGTTACCAAGCCTAGTTTGGTTCCAGAGTTCATGTGCAGAGAGGATGTAGGACTCAGGAGATAAAATAGGTTTGGTAACCAGGCTACATCACACTATCCACCAAAACAGACAAATTCAGGTCTAGCTACCTCCCGAGAACTATTGGAGAATGGGATTCCAACCTAAACAAGTAGTCTCATAGCCTCCTTCGCAGTCTTGTTGGGCGTCGCGTTATTTTTCTCTGAGCGACGCGAGTGATATGCGGCCACGAGGGAAGATTTGCTGCCGAGGGAGTTTTGCCACGGAGAGGTTTTGCATGAAACCTTCTCTCCGTGGCAAAAACTCCCTAGTCTCAGGTCCATCACTTGAACTTTTCAAACTGGGGCTGGCCCATCACATATTTAAAAACAATATAATGATATTATTTTAGTGCCACCACAATCTTTGTTTTTGAACACACAAGTTCTGGTTAGTTTGTTTGTTTGTGCCCTTATCTATACTCATTGATACATGTATATTATATGTACAATATATACATGTATCACCCCATTCAGCCATGACGACCGCTTTTTGTGGGGGCCGAGTTGGGAGGACAGTCAAGGGGTCAAAATGATAATGATAAATTAATAATTATAATAATAGTACAAACACTTGTTAGTTATGATCAGTTCTGGTTATGAAACTGATCTGGTACCCAAGGTCATGTCAATAAGCCCTGTTGGGGTGATTTAACCTCAAATCTTTATTCATCAGTGCTGAGGTGTCATAACCAACATTAGATGGGGACTTGTGATTGGTCAACATCTTCTGGCTATATGATAATAATAGATTATGGCCCGTTATTATTAAGTCAAGATTCAATCATCATCATGTTGATATACAACCTTTTTTAATCTCTGAACACCTCCAGTGAAACAAACTTTATCACACTGCCATATCCCTGGACACCCTTATCTGTCCACCTGGCAAAGAAAAGGCATGCAGCTATGAATTATAAGTGACCAGGAAAATTTCTTTCCAAGTATCAAATTTTTACTGCACAATTAATAAGCACTTGCATATTGCTCCTCCCATCCTAGTAGTTATTCATTTCCTCGTCATCTCTAGATGCTGCCAGCATGCTCACTGTATCTGGTCTTAGAAATAATTGCAAAATTATGGAAGGCTTCAGGTCTACAATAATGTTCTTCAGTCTTTTCTGGGGATAGATATAAAAATACCATCTTCGGTACCATTGGGCAATGTAAAATGATTAAATGCTTGTTGAAATCAATTTGTACTGAGTGATTTTCACTCTTGTGCTGTTGTATGATAAAGATCATGACCTTATTGTTTAGTTATTTTACTCATGATTCACATGCACAGAACATAGTTATTACATGTACTTAGTCTAATCATCACAATGACCAGTGTTGATAACCAATATACAAACATAGACTGGGAACAGGCTTTCTCTCATCTAAACCTAGGAAGACAATAGAATTCTTATACTAAGAATGATCAGTTGATTGCAAATTTCTAGACGTGCCGTTGCTGTGTATGTTTACTCTTCATCAGAGGATGATGATGATGATGATGATGATGAGCTGGAGTCAGCCTTGCCTTCTGCTTTAGCCAGCTCCTTCTGCAGGACAGTCAACAAGTCAACATACAATGTTGGCAGGTCTAAAATTAAAGTAATGAATTTTGTACAATAGGTAAAAGAACTTTCTCCAATTGATGGTGCCAAAATATGAACATTAATAGGGGGTGATTAAGCGAATGACATTTTTTATGGTGGGGGGGGGGAATCATTAAAAAATGAAGCGAGGAATCTGAGAACCACTTCAAATTAAATTGGTGTGGTGTAAGCATTCAATATTTAGGAACTTAGGCCACACCAATTTAATTTGTTGTTTCTCGGATTCGCCTCTTCGTTTTTTTCTGATTTGCAAAAAAAAAAAATTTGATTCTGGTCCTGAATCAACTGAAAAATGCTCATGTTTTGCCCCCCAACAGTTGATGAAAGTCCTTTTCTTCCTAGTTGTTACAGTTTTCCCATCATTGCAGTGGTTTCATTAAAAGTTTAAAATTCAATGTTTAAATTTTAACCCAGCCTTTTGTGTTGACTTCATGGCTCATTTTGTAGCATTTAAGCCTGTAATAGGATGCCTAGACCTGTTTTTACTTTTATTTTTTTTCGCCCTGTCGCTTCATATTTTTTCTGAAAAAAATCCGAGAACCAACAAATTAAATTGGTGTGGCCTTAGATAAAATATTATCACTGTTTATGAGAAATAAACAAAGTGACAATATCAATGTATCTAGTCTACTAGAAACTTTAAGGTTTCTATAACCTCTCAGAAAAGCCAATCAAATCACAGAAAATCATATATCAGACAGTTCTGATGAGCATAAAATGGACATTTACTAGATTGATTGTTTTTTACAATCAAAGACTGCTAATTTCATACTTGCCTGGTGGTACTTGTTAAGAATGTTCCATGATGCTCCGATGAACTGTTCTTCAGAAATGCCACTATCTGTGGACCCAAAAACATGAACAGTTTCAGATAAAGTTACTCACTGTTACAGTAGATGATGATAATGAAGCAATATTATAGCACAGGTAGTACATTTGTACATGGCAACATATCCTTCATACCTTTGCGAAGGTAATAATTACCTTTGCCAAGGTTAATTAAACCATGACCTAATTAGCATACTTTATGAGGAAGTGCTAGACTATCCTTTTTTAAGATAACGCTGTCATTGGGTGGAGAGTATGATCAACTGATATAATACATGCAAATGAGGTTCTTATTTGCGAAATCAATGATTAAAATTGTATAATTCGTCAACCGGAAGGGTTAACATCATTTGGCAAAGGTATAAGGTCGTGGAACTCTTGTTGTGTCTTTGGTCATCATTAACTCTGTGAACAATCATTGTGCAATAAACCTTGACTTGACTTGACTAATGGTCACCATGATGGAAGATGCCATCTCTACAGTACTCACCCTCCCTCTCTACCTGCTTGAGGATGTCCTTGATGACATGTTTGGGGATGCCCTTCTCGTTCTCCTTGGCTCCTACCAGGGTGTTGATGGCCCTGTCAGCCTCCCTGTCGTCCAGGAAGCCGCTGCCCTTGCCTTTCTTGTCGTGTTGTTGGAAGGCTGCAGCAGCAGCAGCCTGGCAGGCCTCCTGAGGAGACGGTTACCATGGTGAGAGACCAGTTCCCAACCACCACACCCTGCACCGCAAGTCATGTACTTAAAGAAACAAGTGGCTGGAAACATTCAGCATCCCCAGAAAGGAGACATGAAACACTTTGCTAAAATATTCTTCATGCAAAATTACCCTAATGTTACATTATAAGAAGATAATTTGAGTTAATGTTTATTTATTTATTTAATGTTAATGTTACATACCTCATCACTTAAGAGCTCTTCCACATTCTTCCTGACCCTGTCCTTGTCCATTTTCTTCCTGAATAGTTTCTTGACAAAGTCCATATTGACCAGCACGTTGTGTCTGTCAAGCAATAAAGAAGAGGGTGCATATCCTGGACTTACAACTCAAGACCTCACCTCTGTATGTGAAACTGATGTTAAAACATATATCTGCCAACCAAAGTTAAGAGTATAGGAGTATAGCATGTCTAGAAATATTACTTCAAACAAAAATATACTTCACTACAAGGTAAATTCTCACATAAGATAGAAATTGCTCATTAAATTTCCATTAAGTTAGTCATACTGTCTAATATTAAGCTTCCTAAAGTGATGCATAATCTGTGATTCATTTCTTCAGTTACAATTTTTCACTCTTTTAAACACATGTATAGAACAACTTGAGACTAGAGACGCCAAAGTTTCAACACTTTTTCCCAGCATCAAATTGCTATTTGCCAGCAAAAAATCAACACAATAGAATTTGCAGGACAAATAATACAAAAACTGGAAGTGTTGCAGCAGCTACAATATCAAAAAGCCACTAACTAAAAGTCTACATTGACTTTCATCTTTGAAAACAAAGGCATACATTATGTAAATCAGGGCTTGACTTGCATAATGAATACCAGAAAAATTATATCAGCCTTCTGCGTTGGAGTTTGGACAAATGTGGTTTGGTTGGACAAGATCATCTATGAATATACAACATGCAGATAAAAGCTTCATTTGTTGTATATTCACTTAGAAATGCCCATTGCATCGTTTAATGGTGGGACGTGATAGGAATTTCATATTTGTGACCTACGTTGGATATCATCACTCGGGTGGGGTATATTGGGGCATACTTTTAATAATGGAATAAAAAAAATTGGCCGAATAAAAAAATGGCAATAAGGTATGCGGTCGTAGAACTAGTTCAACTACCTGTCAAACTACTTGTGACATCTGACCTTCCTTCAACTAAACTCGTCGCAGACATTTGGGGAATTCGTAGTAGTTCTATTAGTCATTTCAATGTTGAATATATGAACTTGCTGATAGATTGTACTTGCATGGGTGATATCCACGATCGGAGAATTATTCTGAATATTCAACGTCTTTCTGTGCACGACAGTCGCCTGTAAGGCACAGCTTATAAACAATCACCGAATGCAGGAAGATTTTAAAGTTAATATGCGACAGTAACAAGCCACCAGCCGCCTTAGATTCCGGGGCTAAAATCCCCATTTCGGCTTATGAATGAAGTGAATGGATGGAATGCTACACGTATATGATTGGTATATTGTACTTACCGTCGGCGTCAGAATCAATGGTGTGGTGACTGGTGTGGTGTGGAGTGGAGTGGAGTGGAGTGGAGTGGAGTGGAGTGGTGTAGTGTGGTGTGGTGCAATGTGGCGTGATGCGGTGTGGACAGTGAGTCAGACAAGTGGTATGTAGGTGTGGTGCTGAAACTAGTGAAAGGTTAAATAGTCTTGTGGTTAGACGAGTGAGTCACTATGGGGGTTTTCAAACCCTCTGAAAAGAAACAATTTTCTAGAATGTCTTGTTGATTTAGGCACTATTTGATACAAAGAAATATGTTCAAATTTAGAGGTCATTTTTCTTAATTCTGAAACGGTCCCAAAAGCTTTGAGCGAGCAAGTTTCCTCCCATGACTTTTATACAAGCCGTTACGGCTGTCTGTCTGCATGGAAAGAAACAAGATAATTTAATCAACACATAAAACATCATCCTATCTGGCACCTTCCGTTCAAAACCCTGGCAAATCCTGCCTGATCGTCCATGCTACATGTACATGTGCATGAGTGAAACTTGGGCTCCTATTGCCTTGGATCTCCAGCGTCTGCGCCTCAACAACAAAGATGAGATGAGACCGTCTCTCAACTATCCTGCGTGCTAAACTTGGTGTCGAGGACATCATCGGCGTTACCGGCATAGTCAGTGATTGCATCAGCTCCATCTAGCATCAGCTCCATCACAGAATTACAGGCCCGACCGGACAAGTTTTGAGAACGAAAAGTAGGATATAAAAGACAACAAAACGTTTTTAATAATACTAGTAATCATGGGAATTATTTCTGTATATTCTTGATATGAGTTGTTAATTTTGTGTTCATACAAACAGCCCGGCCGGGTCCCGGATTGGAAATGTAACCTAAGCATTACCAGGAAACAGAGGCCGTGATAGAACGAGGAAAACCTGGATGGAGTGTGTCAACAAGGAGAGTGAGAGTGTGCGGCCTCACCGGCGTAACATGATGTACTACTACTATTACTACTAATACTCGTACTACTGCTACTACTGCGAGTACTACCACTATTGATGGTATCTATAAAACAAATTCCAAATTTCGCACGTCCTTTTCTTTCAAGTCCGGGTGTACTTTGAAAATTCCTGAATACAGATACCCAAGGATTGTTGATCTCGGCTTCCTAAGAAGGCCTCCTCAACTGACAGTTCAGCTGAGATCTGGGGCTTAGGCATAAAAAATGACTGACAATTTTCACTCGAAGTACAGGTAGTCTATTCTCTTTTTGTATAACTTAAGATATAACTGATTGCAATATGTTAAAAAAATATGTTTAAAAATTAATATAGAAAAAAGGAATGCATGTACTAAGATGTCACACCATTCAGGTATGAATATTGAGTATTCAGCTTCGCAGTAATGAATGGAAAAACTGCATTACTGTTTTTTACAACTAGAAAGACAATGAATGTCCATGACTGTTGGTGCCAAAAATATGAGTTTTGGGGTTGATTCATGTCCAAAATTCAAATCAGAAAAAATAAAGCGGTGAATCCAATAACCCTTAAATAAAAGAGGAGGCCCTATCTGACATCACAGACCCTAGTCCATGACTACTTTTCATGTAAAATTTCGTCGTCCGAGAGAAAGTCGGATGCGGTAATGTTCCAGCAATGTTAGCGCATGTTGATAGTCGATCGATGGAGAGCGGGTTTCAAAATGCTTAGTAAAAGTTTCGAATCAGCCAGCCAAAGTGTCTGACGAGTTATTGCCTGGCTATTGCAGCGTCATCAGATACAGATGTATAATTTCACAGCATATACCGAAGTTATTATTTTAGTCTAACGGGTGGGAATTTCTGTACCCTATAGCAAAATTACGGGCCTGGACGTGAGTCTACGTTTGCCACCCTCAAAGCAGATTTGTTTTTGTTTCAGTCGTGTTCTTGAGGCATTTTGAAGGTCTTCCTTGTGGTTCTCGTTTTTCAAAGACGACGAAAGACCATTAATGGAAGAGATCACAAACAAAATGCATCAAAACAGGTGAGAAATAAGCTCCACCCTCCATCTGCTTGGGAAAAACATTTCTAAGTAGACTTTTCCAACCCCACCTTGAGGCTAGGTTTCCGTGAAGGCGATGTGTTGTTTTCGTAAGAAATGTTATTCAGACACGGGAACTTTGCAAATGATTTCTCAAGAGCTCTTTTGTTTTAAGCGGTTCACTTTATCAATACACACCATAACGTTATGCTCTGTAATGATGTTATCATTCAAACATAAGTTTCGTTCGAAATAAATGAGCATGATTTCAGATGTGGTCCCGCTCGGACGGACACTAGTCATCGTCGTCCTCACCGTCCGCCTGTGGAAAGAAAGACAGATTTAACGTCACGGACATGCTGGCATCAAACGGGTTAGTCCCGACTGTACACACCGTACGACACCTCGCCACCACAGCGCGCATGTCGTAGGTTTGAGAAGCGGCTGAGTGCAGTAGTAACACGTCTGGGCACAAACGCCGTAGATAATCGTATGGTAACGTGAAGGGTGTCACCTGGGCCGATCACAGGTAAAGCGCAGATCAAGTCAGCCACCACGAAGCGTCGCGAGACAAAAAATACAACTGGAAAGGACTTTGTACCATTTCCCAACGTTGTTGCAAAATTTTGCAATTAGAATAAAATTACTGTACAGTTGTCGCAGACATCCCAAGGATTGCGGGCGACATGAACAATTACTAGTGTGCTCGGAGACGAGCCACTGCCGATGATGACTGTACAGTTGTAAACAGAGAAAAGCGCGCTTGAAGTAGAACCTGATTCTAAAGCTATTTCATGTAGATTTTTCACGTGTCAGATGCAGAGTCATGGCTATATACACTGTTGGGTATATTCAGACCTCATTCCTGTCTGTTGTCAGTTTGCCTGATGTTCAGTTCGCTTTTGATGGACCGTTTCATAGACAAAGAAGCTGGAACCTAAAGGGGATAAGCGGCCAGCCGCTGCAACAGGACACACCCCAGGATCCCCTGTGCAGGTGCTGCTGTTACAACATGAAGAGAAGAAATGTGTTTATCCCCCGTTTCTACCATTTGTGTGGGCCTACGGTTAACAATGCGCAGTAATCTGCCGTCTTAGTAGTATTGATGATGATGATGAAGTCGCACGGCGCTGCAAACATTTTGAACGTCACACGAGTCTGCGCGATAGCTGATGACTTGACCTGCGATTTACCTGCAATCAGCCTGATACGTACCCGTCATGATTATACATCTTAAATGGATCGTAGTCATCGTACCCAGGGAAGCAAAAGTCAACCAAGCATGCAGTAAACAAGCAACCAACCAATCAATTGACCAGTCAATCATCTAATATCATCTAATCTAATATCATCTAATCTAAATAATCTAATCGTTCTTCTGCTCGTAATTTTTTAAACTGTTGTGGTGTGGTTGTAGTATGTGTAATTATTGTGGTCCATGTAGTCTTTCTAATGATACTGTATTTTAACTTCCTAACGACTTTGTATTTTAACTTCCTAATGACTGAATTTTAACTTCATTGTGTGCAATACTATAAACTCTTGATTTTAAAATAATGAAATGTACATTGATTCGCAATTCAGTAACTTGCATTAAGTTTACTGCCATTGATCAATAAATAATTCTTGAGTCTCTTGAGTCTTGAGTAATACGTATGATGTACTTATTAAACTGAATACCGATGATAAGTCTCACCTCTTGCATCTTCTTGAAGAAGCCTCGGGCCCGCTTCCCGAACTCTTCCTTAGAGATCTTCCCGTCCTCTGGAAGGTCAGGCAGGGTAAGTACACTGATTTATTGTCTGAATTCTAAGAGCAAATAACAAGATAAATACAACCGGAGGTAATTACGATACTGTTCTCACTGTTCTGTACAACAGAACGACTCGTGCTTATATGATTATAGGGAGGATTAAAGTGTTGTGACGATGGATATATCAGATTGAGCAAACAGGTAAAATGATGCAACACTATCACTGGTAGTGAATAAAAGAACAATAAATACGTACCATCTTTATCCAATTTTTCGAAAAACTTGTTGAATTGTTTTTCTGGAATACCATTTTCGTCGTCGTCAGCACCCAGCTTTAAACAGAACAGAACAAACGGACAAAACGAGGTATTAGTTTGCTGTAAGTGCAGATACATTACCAGAAAAAAAGTAAAGTAAAAACTAATTGTCTGACTATCTAACTAACTAACTAACCACTTCATTCAGCGCCTCGAAGAGTTCTTCCTTCTCCAGAAACCCGCTGCCGTCCGTGTCCAGCTTCTCAAAGGCGGTGTTTACAGCCTTCTTCATGTTATCCTGAATACAAACAACATCTCAACATAATTCCTGTTTGTAAACACATACAAACAAACCGTGAAACAAGCAAACTAGAAAATATGAATATGTATGATTGTCGTACGCAATCTGGTGACGTTAGTCCATATGTAAAAACTACCGATACTCTGCTCGTAACCTTTGATGACTCGTTTATCATTGTATGTACAAATAAAGGGAAACACGGTCAGTAAGGGAACAGGCCTGAAAATAGACACAGAAACAGACATTTCACACGATTATGTATGAATGTTCGTCTGCCCGGCGTATATTAATGGCGACATTTTTGTAAAGAATGTCGTGTTTGGCTACATATATGTTCTTAACTATTTGAAACTATTTAAAATACGGTTAAATTTACCTCCCCCTCCATTAGACTCTGAAGGGCTGTTTTTATCTTTCCTTTTCCCATCTTCTTTGTCCTGTTCTTCTTGTCTCTTTTTTGGTGGCATGATGATGCTGGGGTCTTGAAGTGTCCCTTGTCAAAGTCCCGTTGATTTTAGCTAATTTAACAGTTATTGAAACAGCGATCAGTGACAAAGATTTTTTCAACATCAATATCATAAGAAATTGTTTGTTTGATAAGGTCATCACTAAGTGTGTAGATATTCAATACGCCATGTGTGTATGATTTATTCATGTGTACAGTGAATCTTGGCTTAAAGGTCAACACCCGGTCACAAACAAACAAACAAACAAACAAACAAGCATACACACACTAGTGACGGAGCTGACATTTTAGATCGTTAGATCGTCGAACCCTCTCATGAGAACCAACCGGGTCTCTACTACAGTACTGTATGAATACGTGCAGGCCGGGGGGGGGGGGGTACGAGTCTTCAGGCTGTAGATGAATGACGCCACCGCCACCAAGGCTCGGTCTGTTTCCGGTACAAACTGGAGAGTTTTACTCACATTGAACCTAGCTAGACAATTCTTAAAACCGAATTCCATGTGACCCCAATTATTATGATTAGTACTTATGGAAATCACTTAATTTGCCAATTTGTCAAAAATATGCAGTCGGCAACATTTACCAATGTCTTAAAACCTCATTTGCATGCAAAGAAGTTTTTTATTAGCAGAATATGTATGAATTTTTAGTAAGTCACCGAACAGTATATAGTGTATCAACCCCTGGCGCTATGCATCCTGGGAATAGGAAAAGGTGAGTAGAACTTCGATTATACCTGAGGCAAGATACGAACACTACAAATACATACATACACACACACACACATACACGCACGCACGCACGCACGCACACACACGCACGCACGCACGCACGCACGCACGCACGCACGCACACACACACACACACACTATTGTTCAGGCGTAGCTACAGATATTGAAGACACTTACCCTCGGTCCTACTCGGCTGATGTCTGAAGTCAAACTAACCAGTCGGACCGGTCCGGAACGGTTGACGTCACCTACAGAGAATCCTGGGCGGGTCTCCAAATCGGTAAATCAGCCGCACATGACTATCTTTAAGGCTGTCCTTGGGCTGTCTAAGGGGTTTAGCAGCACTCATTAAAATGTCGCTGGGAGATAGAAACAAAAACCAAGCTCACGGGTACGAACCTTTGTCTTAATTGTCACGCAGGTATCAATAATTAAACGAATCGAAGCTGGATAATAGAAACGTTTGTCTGTTTGGATACCGATTTACGGGGTTATCCTTGACACCATGACCAGACAGGCCAGGTCCTCCTGCGGCTGCGCGCTACCCTGTCCGCTGCACGATCTGGGCGACGCCGTGGAATGTCTGTGAAGAGAACTTGACAAAGGCCGTGTTTATGTGAAGTCACCCAAGGCGCTTTACATGTGGTTCACCCCGAAGCCGGTTTCAAGTGGCTCCATCTGAACGCTCCAAATCACATTGAAAGCGCCTCGATCCCAAACCACTTCTAGAGGTGGTTTCCAATCGGTTTTCCCGCATCGCGATTTGCTTCTAAACGCAATGTGATTTCAATGTAACTTCGCTTGGTCATGGATTACGGGGTGATATTTCTTTATTTATATGCAATACCAACTTTTACGTGGCAGCAACTTTAAAGAGCAGAAATGGTCAAATAATGTGTCCGTTCTAGGACGAGCTTCACCGCCTCTGGCGGGACCACGTCGCCATTCGGCCGAGATACGCTGGGAGGGGAGCATCAGCAAGCAGGTCGTTGACCTCTGACATTAATAACACGCTACCTTGCGTGTTTTCATCAAACAGCAATAAATGTAGCTCAAGCGAATTGTGATCGGACACGGTTTCAAAGGAATGTGTGGCACGTGGACCAGATGTAAGGAATGTGAGTTACCCGAATCGCGGTTTGGGTGACTTCACATAAACACGGCCAAAATCAGTCGTCTGAAATGTCGACCCAGGCGATCTGGGACTCCAGTACAGATTACTGACTGCCCATGAAAGTTAACGATCAATCCCTGGTGTGGAAGAGATGATATTTTTGCGATATGAGTAAAAATGATGAAATTTGGGGACAGATCTGGTTCTAATCAACGACGTTTTATCGTAAAACATCCTTGTTCTAATCGACTGGCCAGCCTAACAAAATGACAGTCAGAACATAAATAGCGGTCATACTATGATAGTATTGTATTGTATATCAATCAATAGTTCGTGCTTATAAACCTGCATTTCTCTTGCAGTCTCTTTGTGTCACAAACCTGGTGGCTATCTGTGGTACTGCAGCAGAGCGTCGATATCTCGTTTTCTGGACTTAACATGGTCATGATCTTTTAAGGGCTCTTGGGCTCCTGAAAAAGTGACCCCCTAGCGACTTTCCTGGAACTGCAGAGGACCATCTTGATTGAGAATTAGAGAATAACCGAAGGGTTGATGAGTCATTATATAGTGATTTTTTATATATATGCATTATCAACATACTCGGATGCTAATCATGCAAAACAGATTACAATTGGCATACTTAATGAGGAAATTTTACAAAGTCGCTGCATTCCACGATAGGACTTTAAAACTTGAGGCATAGCCGGAATTTCACACTTGCAATTTGGATGTTAGTCAATGGTGACCATCATGAAGCATTTTCATAATTAATGAGAAATAATCAATGAGAAATAACTAATGAGAATACCTTTTTTTTACTAAGATAATGACTTTCATACTTGTGTTACTAGTATTTGGGCAGAGAAGATCATGAACTGATCTAATTTATGCGAAAATGGATCTTATTTGCATTGTCAATGAGAAAGCTTTAGAATAGTAAAGGGGTCAAACATGTAGTTACAATCGCCATGGAATACGTAAGCTGACTAGTGAATCGTAAGATCTGCTAGGAGATTAGCTGACTGCCCGATGTAGCATCTGTGTCCATAATATCACCAGGGTCCATAATATCACCACCTTGAGAAATAGTGTGCTTAAAGATATTTTAACTGCAACATACCCTAGGTATGTACCCTAGGTATGTATATTTGATGTGTGAAGGAGTGCATACCAAAAATATGTTGCAGTTAAAATATCTTTAAGCACACTGTTTCTCAAGGTGGTGATATTATGGATCCTGGTGACATTATGGACACAGATGTTAACTATCGGGATATGCATATCTTACATAGCTGGCTGACTGGATCACTGCTGCATGATGTACAGGTTTGCTCAAACCGCTGGTGCCAGTCTGAGTCGCCCTGCTTCATAACAAGGAACAGTCTGATCAGACAAATTGTTCTATACCGTTTATTAGCTGTTGAGTTAGACCATTCAGTGACCAAAACTTTATTTTTGTCAGATCGCTCAGCGGCCCCCAAACTGACCCGAACAGTTACGTTTGCGTTCAATGGGAAACGCTCCGAGTGTTTTGAGCCTGGGTTTGGCGAATGTTTGGTCGTTCAATGATCTACTAGTATTCTCTGTGTAAATATAGGACATCACCACTACGGCCTGCATGCTCACATACAAGATCATACAAGCGTACTTGCCTTTTTTTACACGTGACAGTGATTACTACGCGTATGAACAACTATGCAGCCAGAAGGCAAGCCAGAGAAGCACAACAGGAACTGAGGGAGGTATACAACATACATGTAAATTTATCTGTTTCTGTTACGACAAGGATATAATAGGCCTAGTTAGTTTGAAATACATTTTTATTCTACTCTCTGTCATATGTGCTTCAGTTACAGCCGTGCACCTTGTAATGCTCGTAGTTTGAGTGTATGTAACAACATGTATGTAACAACATGTATGTAACAGTTCTACAAGTAGGCGTTAGTTGTAGGCGTTTCTATACCCGGTAAATGACAGTAGCTAGAGGCCGATAGAGGCGTTAGTTTATATCTGGACAGGACTGGTGAAGGGAATCATTGCGCGCAGGAAAGCCTCACGGTACGTCTGAACTGTTAAATACTAATGACACGTGGCTGTAGCTGCAGTAGAATGAGGCTGGTCTCTTCTGTCTAATCCTCATCCTCCTCCGCATCTTCATCACTGTCTTCCTCCTGTAACGTAAGGAAGGAATTCTACAAATTCTGGCATAAGACTTGATGTTTCCTTTTCAGTTATTTTCACTGAGTTCACAGTGACTGAATATGACTTGACCTCTGCAGTAGTGGCAAGATATTGGGCATTGTAGAATTTTACAACAGGCATTTCAAAACCTTAACTACGAGGTATAAAATTTACTGTTGTATCATAATAAACCATCTGCAGTTGCATGACACCACTAGCTGATGATTGCTTCACGTAAAATCTACTCCAGGGGTGTTTCCCTCGGGAATCACACATGTGAAAAAGGTTAGGGATATGTTGACTGTTCTGACATTTGATGTTGATTGCTTCAAAGTAGGGATTAATTTTTCATCTTCTTTGGGAATTAGCCACTAGATTTTCACGGGATGCAAGTTTCCCTACCTTACAAAACTCACGGGTCCTTTAGCACCCCTACATGCGGTCTTCCAGACCGTCACGTGTCGTCACCATTAATCTCCAAGCAGATTCGGCGGGGGCTTTATGTCAGCCGCCTGTATCCATTGGTCATCTGTGTCCAACGTTCGCCCCACGAATATGCCGCAAACGGAAGGCTTCAAACCTTTCAAATCTAATCACTCTGACACATTTCGGCTGATTTGGCGAACGTTGGATACAGGCGACCAATGGATACAGGCGGCGGACATATTAGATATCTAGGCTCCAGAGCACCTGACTACATGTATGGACATCATAGGCACGAACTCTTACCTTCTGAAGTTGTTTGAAGAGCCTCTTCGCCAATGTCTTGAATTCGTCCTTAGATATCTTCTCATCCCCTTAAATTACATTCAAAAAGGATTTTAAGAATATTATTTATCATGTCACGTGCATAGGAATACTCAGTCGGCTGTTCCAAGAACAGGGTGTACCAGGGTGTTGCACTTGCCCAATTTTTCAAGTTTCCAAATTTTTTACTTTCAGTAAAGAACCTTGTAATACAAGTGATATCATGCATGATGCTTTTTAAATTTTTGGATAGCGATGAGCGGTTTTAAAGTTATGCTCCTTCAAACGTGAGTGAATTGCTTTACAATGGTATATGGACACTACAGGACACTACAGATCATTTGGCATACAACAAAACTCGTTGTATTCTCCAATGATTTGTTTCAAATGTGAAATGAGTTACAGAACTAAAAGGAGGGTACAATTTTTTTTTAATTACAACGTTCGTAACGCACTGGGGCGCTTCTGAAATATCATGCAATTGACTCAACTTATTGTGTAAAGAAACGACCAGAAAATTTAGTTGAACATTGCTCCAAGTTCCACGGTAATAGCTGGTGTCACATGCCCCATGTCTGCGGGAACACGTGAAAGAACCCTCACCGTCAGTGTCGAGTTTCCCGAAGAACTTCTCAAACTTTTTCTCGGGGATCGCTCTCTCGTCCTCCCCGGCACCGATCTGAGAAACGAAATCACCACATAAAAACATCTGATTCAGTAGTTGACCTGTTTCTCTTGAAACGTCATGTGCTGTGGAAGAATGCGTAATTGCATGCCTAAACAATAACGCATGAACTGTCACAGAGCAAAAGAACTTCGAATTCAGTCTGCACCAGACTCCTTTGCAGGCCGAATAAATAGTAGAGATCGGCGTAAAAACGAATGTAATTGGCCACGGGAGCCAGCCGGCCAGCGTGCTTGGATCTCCGGCTGACTCCTCTGGCCAGTTACATTCGTTTTTACGCCGATTTCTACTATTTATTCAGCCTGCAAAGGAGTCTGGTGCAGACTAAAAGAACTTGTGCAAAGGAAAACACGACGACTCTAAAACACCGTTTCTTAACATTAACAAAATATTACCTTTCAAATGCCACCTTGATACATGAAGAATAAATTGTGGTGGCGACTTTGGACTACACTCCCAATTTCGCTTATTGTTTGGCTCTATAATTCAGATACTATTAGGTTGTCAATGCGCTATGAACTCACTACCATAGCATTTCGACAACATGGTTTAAGTTCCTAATCACCTCTCAACACGTTTACCCCATCCTCCCAATTTCACCTCTCCCCCATGCACGTGACTTGACTGCTGGGTAATAGACCTTTCTACTTTTGTCTGGGTGACAAGAAAGCTCGTCATTACGCCAAGCATTTGTACACGAGGAGGTATGCTATCCTTCATTGCCCTGTTTGCTAAGTCCTGTAGTGTGCAGAAGTTGTTACCAGGGAGTTGAGCGCAGACAACAGTTCTGCCTTCTCCAGGAAGCCGCTCCCGTCCGTGTCCAGTTCTGAGAACGCCTTGTCTGCCGCCTGCTCAAACGTGTCCTGATGACCAGACAGAAGAACACACATGGGGACTACACAGTTATCACTGGAATTTTATGTCATGTAATAGTTGATCAAATTGAAACAAATATTCTTTACCCGTAGTGACAAAAAAGAGTTGATTTTTTAAAATAATTTCCAACATGTAATCACAAGACGTGGTGACGGCACACTCAAGAGTTGATTAACATTGACTATAATACTAGTAGATTATTCCACTTATTGTCGCGTACTTTATTGTAAACTGCACGCACGATCAGTGTGAGCTGTCATTGCAGATCGTACAGTCAATAAAACCGTCCGTTCAAGTATCAGACGGATCTGTACTAGTGGGACGCGCAGATATCGTTGACTGGTCACGTAGAAAACTGCTAACTACTACTACTACTACTACTACTACTACTAGACACGTCCCCCACAGGCCGCACCACTCTCACCTCCCCCTGCATCAGACCTTTGATGGCGGACCGAACTTGTTTCATCGCCATCTTCCTCTGCTTTCCCTTCTCGTTCTTGGGTGGCATCGTGATATGCTGGTGACTTTGGTGACTGGAACTTGAAAGGAACAAGAAAGCAAACAAACAAATGTTGTAAATGTAAGTTTTTACAGCTAGCAGTGTGCAGTGTGGGCATAATGGATGAAGACAATGGCGATGTCGGACATAAATATATGGACATATGGACAACTACCGTTAATTTCTTATGTCGATGGTCACAAGCTAAGCATGTTGGGTTTGACTTCGATTTTGGTCAGCAGTAGGGGACGAAAACCCTAATTTTCCATCATGCGCAGGTTCTGTGATGCATACATAATAGGAAAATAGCACCCCAACTCACGTAAGTGTACGTAATCAGCCGACCTTTCGCGGAATCCACTTGTTCTATCTAGCTACGTGTGTTTTGTACATTTGTATAACGATATCATTTTCACTAGTAGTGATTCAGTACTCGGTCACTACCCCTGCATTCCCGGCACGATGAACTTTTTAGGAATAAACGTAGTTTAATAAACAAACAAACAAACAAACAAACAAACAAACAAACGCAGGGAGATGAGCACACAAAGGCGGCCAATTGTTGAAAAGACATCAAAAGATGACTTTTTTCATTTCTCAGTAAATTATTCCTGTGGCCTAGCCTTTGTCATGTACACTGTATTCAGCCATTAGCACGGTTCATTCGTTTTTCTTGTACGTGCGACTAGCTAGTGGGTACTTTATCGTACTGTGAAGTAGTGTGCATCTTTTACTCCCGAAAATTCTGTTGGAAAAAGCCTCCTCCCGGCTTATAACTGATCCTTTAAGACAAGATTTGATCTTGATAGAAGAGAGACATACGTTTGTACTTAGCAATTGGTGGCTTCTTTAAATAGGAAAGATCTTTCGTTAAAGCAGTTTATTGAGATTTGTGTGTTTATGGTGCAGTTCTAGGACTGATGAGTCAGCAGGAGTGTCCCGGATATTCGAATTATCACAACCTTGACTTTATATCAAATTTATACCAATACATATAAACTATATGACGCTATATGATTCAGACGCGTTTGGCATGCACAGAGTGCGCCGCTTTCGAAAACCGTTCCAATATCGGAGGTTGGAATTGATGATGCAATTTTTTGTTTAAGGATACCAAATTTTGTCACATTTTGCGTTGAAATGTGTATTTTCTTGGGTTAGTCTGGCATAAATGGAATGTGTATTCCGCTACCCTGGGTGTCCTGGTAGCGTGAGAGATACGGAATACGTGTCAAGTATTCTATATTTACACAATTGAGATTGGCTGATTTAGAATTCCACTTGACATGCTCATAAATCATAAATGTGCATTGCTGACGTGCCGCCCAGGTGGGTGACCTTTCCTATCTGCGGTGCCGTGCGGGGGACTGCCCCGCCCAGCCCGTCTCCTCTCCCCGCACACAACTCCGTACCGCATGACGAGGCGGTTTGTACATGCCCGTGCCCTCCCCCAGATCGATATCTTGGAAGGTCAACAATACAGGAAGGCTCCTCAGCGGTTTAAAAGGTGGAAAATGTCAGTGGCAGACGTCCGACATGTAAATTAACGACTTGGGATTGAATGGAGCCAAACAGCGTAACAAATTAGTGGATTTCCGCATTTTACCTTGATGTTGCGACAATGTGGTGTACAGGAGTGGAAGCGTTATATAATATAAAGAAATATGATTCATCCTTAGTCTATATGCACATCATAAGAAATGAGATTTTACATAGCTGTAATTGTGATGATGGATGTTTTCAAACTGTTCCATCTCTCCAGTCTTATTAGGAGCGTATAAAATCGAACTGGCTCTAAATTGGGAGCACACGTGGAGCAGGGAGCAAGTGCCTTTAAGATGAATATAAAACTACTCACTAATACGTGGGGAAATATTACCAACTGTCATGGCATGTTGTGTGTGTTGTCGTGTGGAGATGTTTGTGGAGATGTGTGTGGAGTGTGTGTTGTTTGTGGAGATGTGTGTGGATTTTGTGTGTAGTGTGTGGAGATTTGTGTGGAAATGTGTGTGGAGATGTGTGTTGTGTGTAGAGATGTGTGTGTAGATGTGTGTTGTGTTTGGAGATGTGTGTGGTGATTTGTGTTGTGTCTGAAGGTGTGTGTCGTGTGTGGAGATGTGCGTCGTGTGTGTGTAGATGTGTGGTGTGTGTGGAGATGTGTGTTGTGTGTGGAGATGTGTGTTGTGTGTGTAGATGTGTGTTGTGTGTGTGTAGATGTGTGTTGTGCGTGTAGATGTGCGTGTAGATGTGTGTGCAGAACTCACCGCCGTGCTTCTCCTTCCCAGAGCTGTTCAGGACTGGCTGGTCTCCAGTATTAGACAGAGCGGTGTGTGTGTGGGCGTGGCCGTGATTCTGATGGTCCCGGGCGCACGTGCCGGGCGAGGCCAAGTCAATATACCGCAATTCTCTTTATGTTCACTGTAGCAAAAGTTAACGGTCTGAGAACAACGGGCATGTTCATGGAACTATATATTCATGGTGGCAACAGGTGTAGGAATATGAAAGTCCAGGAATGATTGGTTTTCTGTAATGATAAGTTCACTGTACAGAGGTGACAGTGAAAAGTCACTGAAAACAGTAAGCATAACAGTACCGTTAAAAAAATCAGAAATTACAGTAATGTGTCCGCTACCAGGGCCATGGCGGGGTTTCCAATATCGATAGTTCATGGAAGTGAGCTCGCGTGACACATTTACTATTTTACCTGGTTCCCGGACAACTGCTTGTCTACTGGGACGCGCAGATATTGTTTACAGTTCAGTATGTTCCATCGTCCTATAGAGGATGACGCTAAAAATGATGTTTCAATGGTCAAAGAATCAAATTCAACCTCGTGTCCTCTCGAATTGTACCGAAAACATTTCAACAGAAAACGTTTTCACCACCTACAGTCTTCAGATTGCGGATAACTCTGGGGCGCCAAACCCTGGATTCCGTCCGACACACCGCCGGTACGGGAGCTGAGACGGAAGAATGATGTCAGCGTGCGGCATGATTGGCTTGTTACGTACGCCAAGACGGTTATGGTAGCGTTTGTATCTATGTAAGTGGGTGTGTATGTGGTTTAACACGATACCTCAAGACACTTTGGGTGGATTGTCATGAAACTTGGTAGGCGGGTAGGTCATGACCTCGAAATGATGATATTTTGGGCCCCTGGCGGCTTGTCATGGTACATGTATGTCAGCGGAAAATCGGTGTTGATATCTCGTGATCCGGACATGCTAGGGTCACGAAATTTGGATGGTAAAAATCTTTAGAAATCTTTGAGGGACGACATCAAGAACCGGTTGACGAATCGTCAGGATTTTTGACATAATTAGATAATAATTAGATACTAGTAATAATGCACAACACGAGCTAATTTGCATAATTAAAGAGGACATTCTATAGATCTGCTGCATAATAATTCTTGATTACTAAACGAAAGTCCGTTGATTATGTAAATGAATACCAATCAATTTGGCAATTTGCTATAATTCCGTTGGTAACTGCCGGGAATTTTATGAAGTGAGATTGAGTATCATTAAACATAATTTTCTCAACTCACGACCTTATTTGCATAATTGTGTATAGTGAACGAGCCCGGGGATCACAGAAAGTAGAGCAGGTTTTCCCAGAGACTTGCGATCTCATTGCGACCTCATTACAGACCACAACGAGGCTTCAACCAAATCATGACAGTGCCATGCAAACAGTAACCTACATGTACATGTACCTGCAACCACCGTCGCCATGGCAATGTATGTTTTCATTGTCAGTCTTGTTCATTTTGGCGTCGGGTGGCGTAGTGGTAGATCATTCGACTGTGAACCGGGAGACCCGGGCTCGATTCCGAGTCGTACCCGGGACATATCTTGACATGCGCCCGACGTTGTGCCCTTGCATGGGAAAGGCACTGGTGGATGCAACAGGCACTTTACACAACCTTCCTCACTCCACCCAGGTGTGAATGGGTACCTACACGTAACTTCGGTTGGGGAAAGTCGTATTGAGGTCACCTTGTGGCGCCGAATGGCAGCCGCACAGACCCTTGCGGCAGTTCCACAAAAATGTGGAACAAATATGTATCATGTGTATTATTATGTGTATGTTATAGTATCATCTGATTGTAAACCCTGCATCAATTCAGCACTACAAAGCTGCGATTGCACGGGTGATGTTTGGCCAATAAACCATTTATTATTACTATTATGTTTTTATTTTGGCTGTATTATTTGCTGTGACTGGAATTCTGATGTTTTCTTGATGTCAGAATTCAGTGCCTAATGAAGTTACTGCAGCCAAATGCCTGAATCCTGGTTTAACAGTTTTATTCATGATAATCAGAAATTAAAGTGCAGAAGGTAACGTTACATCATCACACATCAAGTTCCTACCATAGCAGATAATATATTCCAACATTTATAGCCTATTTATTGGGGGAACTACAACAGAAACAGATAACATTTCCAAGAAATTGAAGTTCTTTACAGCAGAGAATGTACAAAGTTACAACTGTGAGCACCCCACAGTATAATACAACAACATTACCACATATAGAACATAACCAATCTACAAATCAAACAAATCCATAGACCCATGGTGCACCTTGGGCTAACATACATGTATCTGCTGTTAATTCTATAGATTATTGCAGGTGCATTGTAATCCCTCAGTATAGCAAATATAGGCAACAGCTTTCAGAAATTACAGGGAAGTATTTACAGTGGAGGTTTGCTAGGATATCAATAGATACTAATATGTAAGCTAAAAAGGTATAATCATATTGTGTACAAAATGGTAGTTGTAACTATACAAATGTGAGAGTCCCTGATAGCTGGTGTCTGACTATATATAACCCTCACTGGACATTTGTGTGTTCCTTATGTTCACCTGCACACTACGTAACTTCACATGTCCACTACTGACAATACAGCAGGTCAGACTGGACAGGTGGGACACACACTAAGTCTTGTAAATATACCCATTTGTCTATACCTGCACGTGTCCTCTGACATGGCAATGTGGAACATGTTCAGACAAGTGGTTGATAGAGAGAAGAAAGATGGAGTTTCAATCAGAGGATGTTGAGCATGAAAGAAGTAATTTTGTAGAACTTCCCTCCTAAACCTTCCCAGTGGACCATGCTGCATACTGGTACACATCTGTGAAGTAAACGTCAGCCTGAAAACTTTGAAAACTTGTTGTACAGTAGGACTAGTCCATTTATGCCAAGGCAATTTATAAAATAACAGGAACATGCTGTTACATGTATTAATGGCTTCACTAAATTGTACATTAATTTTGAATATATTTTACAGCCAACATGCATTTCCTGTACAGATTTACTACAACAAAGACAACACCAACAAAACAGGACAAAAATCCATTTAACTCAATATTTACAGCAACTCTTTGCAGGTTCCACAGAATGAACGAATAATATCGATTAGAAAATTGTAAGTAAACATCCCCAGTCCAAAAGAACATCCTAATATCCAATGAAAGCTACATGATATTGTATAGTGAAACAGTGTTACAGCTAGATATGATACGAAAAGGACTTTGGTTAAAGCAAAACTTGAGTAAACCCCAAAATGGTCAAGTTTTAGCACTGTTTAAGAAAGACTTAGTCATTGTTTTCCAGTACTTAAACTGTTTTTTTTCTATCAATGCATTAAAAGTAGGGAAGCTACATTGTATTTGCATTGTTTGAACACTCAGTTAACCAGCCTGGTATGTTGACTTCATGACTTGTTAATTTGGTAGTGTTTGGGTCTATCATAGGAACTTTAATTTCTATAATTTTGTCTGCTCCATTTCTTTTGCAAACATCCAAGAACCAAACTCAGACCAGTGTGGACTGAATACATTTGTACAATCATTTTGACTCTAACCCAAAACATCAATGCTCTCCATCCAAAATTTTGTGTGTGATTATATGCGCCATGCAAAAGTTTTAGAATGTATTTGATTATTTTGGGAAGAACTATTCCACAATACTGGTTAAGTACTGGGAAGGCAAAGTTGTTATTCTTAAAGTCGTTAAGCATAAAACTGTACCAAAATTCAATGTATACACAGAATGCTGAACGTGTAACCTGCAAACCTGTCACAGTCAGAATGTGTTCAACTGTTAAAACATCAGCATCTAAAATCACCCAAGTGATAAAGTAACATCCCAGGACTGGTGGACTGTCCACTACACCCAGGACAGGCTGGACCACAACACATCGCTCTGTCCTGTGTAAAGACGTCTCAATGCTGCGAACAATATTGCAGAATATGATGTGTAAAGTGGGTCTTATTGATGCACATTTGTAAGACTGTGGGTTCGTCCACTTATGTTCCTCTTGTTAACCACTTGCATATAACACCTACAACACACTACAAAATTCTTTTTAAAACTTCAGTTAACAATTATTCATTTGCAGTTTCTTACAACCATGGGAATAGTTCCAACAATTGTGAGCTGGACAAATAGTTGACATTGCCACTGTGAAAGTCACCAAATCGTGGATGAGATTCTGAATATTGTTCAGAAGTAGCAGGAATTCCAGCCATGAATGCCTGTATCTGCTCTGTACAGATTGGAGGTAAAACGTAGCCGGTATGGTACCGGTGTTCACAGCTGGATTTTAGGCTTGTTCAGATTAGGGAACTTACTTCATGGTCACCACTTTAATGTTCCATGTGTGGAACTGCTTTATCTGTACTATGCTAAATACAACATTGTAAAGATAGGAGGGTAAGAGACAAGGCAAGAACTGGCCATGAGACAGGCTACTGTAAGGAGACTTTCCTTTGTGCCCTACATGTACTTGTGAATAATTTGTAAAATTTTACATTACATGCTTTCTTGATGTTGGTAAAAATACTTATCATCTCTCTGGGTACCATCTGAATTTTGGCTGCAAGCTACATGTACATTGCAAAGTTACTCTTCACACCCTAACATGTTACAGTAATGTAGAACAGCAGGATACCTTAGATACTACCATTGACTTTCTTCCCATCTAGATGACACAAGGTAAGAGAAAGTAAAACAGTATATACAGATACACATACAGTTTGGCTCATCCTGAGACTTGATAGAACTCAAGTTCAGTCAACCATTGGAAAATTTTAAATTACAATGTTAAATATCCATGAAAATAGAGGGGACAGGTGTACATTTTGTACATGTGTACTTGGTAAGCTGCTTTAGATTGTGTTCAACTTAGGGATTCCAAAGCATTTCTGACCGTGGACTCGAAAAAATAGGAACACCCCTGGCTCTTATGCAACATAGGTACAACTACTGTACATGTGTATAGTATTGTAACTAAGCCACGATAATAGAAAAGTTCAGTAAAATGTCCTTCCTTTGCTGGTACCCAATTTTCCATTACAAAATACCCCTTAAAACAGTGGAAGAGTCCAAAACAACTGACATATTTCAGCTGCTGGATTGACTTCCATGAACATGTACTGAATCATGTAGTACACACTGCACCTGTACCTGCCATCTGATGGGACAGAGTGGGGAATTGGAAGGGAAGTTCATTCAAGTTTGGACAATGCCTGTTGACTGAATGATAAGTTTACATAAGTTTACAATTTTCCCTAAGTTGAAATGTGACAAGAACAAAGCAGTGCTCTGACTTAGGAGCTGTCTGTGACATGGCTGGTCTTCACAGTTCACCAGACAAGAGGGACAGCAGGGCTGGGAACAGCACAAACAGCACGGCCAGCACCAGGACCCCCATCGGCACCAGACACAGGTACATCAACTGGGGACAGCAGAGACACAGTCAGTTAACATTCCTCAATTCCAGACTCATTCTTAAGCTGTTCAATTTGATACATAGACACATACAAACACATGAATATGGCAGTTAACATACCAGTTAAAGGCAGGGAGAAGGGAAAGATGGCAGCACACTGTACAGTACCAGTACCGCTTAAACAATATGCCTAATGCCGTGCATACATGTAGAATAGGAGCTGAAACGGACTAACAGAATAAAACCACACTGGAGTTACAACTTAATGAGTGCTTCACTTGGTAAAGAGAGTGTAGTTAATGAATTTTCACACAAGAATGGGCAGGCAGCAATAGAAGAAGGCTTGAAGGATGAAGGAATGGTCAAACTTCTCGATTTAGATTATGAATATGATTGTGTAATATGTATAAAATGCAAAGGACTAAATTAGAGTGAAGTCCAAAGAATCATCGACCAATAGTAGGAATTCACCATAACATATAGAAAAAGTGTCCTTTGAATACAGGTTTGGTTACAGGGTCTTCCTTAACCTTCTCCATGTTGAGGCCATGCCAATTTGATTTGTTGCTTCTCGGATTGCCCTGTCCATTTTTTTTCTGATTTGCAAAAAAAAATTTTTTTTGTTGGTTCTAAATTAACTGCAAAATGTGCAATGAAAGATATATTTTGGCCCCAACGGTTGAAGAAAGTCCTTTTCTTCATAGTTCTTAAAGTTTTTCAATGTAACAATGCAATTTTGTTTAATTAAAAGTTCAAAACCAGCCTGGTTTGTTTACTCCATGGCTCATATTGTAACATTTCCGGCTATCATGGGGTGTTGGCCTGTTTTTTTTTTGTTTTATTTCGCCCTGTCGCTTCATATTTTTTCTGAAAAAATTCGAGAAACAACAAATTAAATTGGTGTGGCCTAATGATGTACAGTCATGATCAAAGTTAGCAGGTACTACAAATGTAGTTGCCACAATAACCAACTAGCACTACAGCTTGGTGTTACTTCGTCAAGAAGACCAACTTGTCAATTAAGGGTAATCTACATGTGAAGCAGCTTTGAATGGTACTGCAGCAGACTTTGTCAGTAATTTGGGCTGGGAATACAAAGTTCAAGTTCAATTATGGGCATTCTAGAGGCTTTCTATGGTACTGCATCAGCACTTCTAGGTCTGATACATGCATGTAGCCCCAGGAATCTAGATCAAGGTACTTGAGGTGCTAAAATTAGCTCACACTATACTCCAGCACAGAATTATTAAACTCCCCTTCTCAGAAGTAACAATTTGGAAGAAAGTCTGGAGGAGAGAATGTTATGAAAATCGCATGGAGTCAACTAGTACATGTACTCCCCAGAAGTCCTACACAAATGTACTAGTCTACCATACCATTTCCATTGTACCTGTATGTTGGAAAGTCACTTCTGCTGTGTTAGTTTGGGTGTCTGTTGTCAGTGACAAAGAAGATATCACAAAAACACACTCCGCAGCTGTTAGTCCTAAGTGTTAGCTCAGTGCTACAGCCAAGCAGCAAAATCTGCACTGAAATTTGAAACAAATTACCCCATGTACGACGCCACGGTCTACACCCAGGCCACTCACATTTCTGCTCCTGGTGGCGACCATCTTGTACTCAACCTTCAGGTTCCTGATGTCCTCCTTCAGCTGCTCTGTCTCCCGCTGGCTGTTCTTCAGTCTCTCCTGGAGAAGTTCCACCTCAGCCCTGGCAGAGCCACACTGTAATGTCAGCAGAACACACCTTCTTACTCACACTGAACTTCCAGTCCCACAAATAACAACATCAGTACTGAGAATGTATGACAATGTATGTACATGTATGTACTAGCAGTGTTCAAAATACTTGAATGTCCGCATTTTGCAGAGAGGTTTCAAGATTGCAGAAGAAAAAAATCTACAATCTGCAATTTTGCAAATTGGAAAAATCAGACACACAAACAAACTACATGTAGCGGTGCTGTAAATAAACTGAACCCTGTGCCACACTACATGTACATGTAACCTGGTGGCATTTTACGCCACACCGACTTAATTCTATGGATGACATCCTCTGAAGACCTCCAAACTAGCGCGCACGGGCGAATAAAATGCATATGCTACTAAACCACAGAAATACAAAGCTGCTATCGTGAATTTGTGGCACTACATAGCGACGTACATTGTATACGACAAGCCAGCACATGCTGGCCTTTTGCAGAATTTATGAGTCGGCACTGTATGTATGTACGGAGTTCTTGAGTCATGGAGTTTTGGTATAGCCTGGGTGCTGTCCTCCAGAGTTACAACCGGCTCCGTACTGTCGCTAACTACCATGAACAACCCTAGCCTAGAGCCAGGCCAGAGACTGTACATGTGCTGTGTTAGGCAAATTCAATGCAGCACAAAAATCAAACATGTCTCCCAAGAAGAGAATTATTTCTTTGGTACAACAGGCTGACATAAACACCAAAAGAACAGCTGAGGATGATTTTGTCATGTATTGGGAAAACTGACAGCCAGTAAACTTAGTTACAGTTTGCCTGCTGCGGCGGGCACATCAAGCTTTCAGTGAAGGTCACATGACATGTACATGACACGTACAAATAGCACGTCAACAGTACGCACTGCAACTGCGCGAAACCCGTAATGTATTGTACATAGCACTTCGGCAGAACGTCTCATATAAGGTCGTATTTGCGCATACAAGGAAAACATCTCGTCTGCAGTTTCCAAATGTTATGTCGGAAAAGATATCCTCTGCAACAGGCAAAATTCTAATGCAACGTTGACCAAAAATCCATCGAAAACCATGAAAATACAGGGTTCTGCGCAGGCGCAGTACGTTCTGCCGACGTGCTCGTACAAATGTATGTTTGTGGTTTTCCTGCTGACCGTTCACTACGAAGTCATTCTGATGCAAAGACATGATCTGTCTTGTTTTGTATTTAGTACATGTAACATTACTATCCTTGTTTCAACTGCCAACCTAAAAGCAACCTACTCCTCCTTGCTCCCCCTACAAGTGCAATTGAGTCTCTGTGAACGTAAGATAAATTTATAGTATTTTGATACTGCTGTTTCTATGCTCAGAAACAAAGGTCGTTCCTGTCCAAGTGACAGCATGTTATCCATCTTTTGAAATGTTAGCTGTAACATGTGCATTCCATCATCATCAACAGGAACATATATTATATATATTTATAGAACATCTGTCATGTACTGCATTGAAACAAGTACATAATGACCTACAGCATTCATTATTAATAATAGCTTGCAGCTGACGGTGATGTAAAGCAAAACTAACAAAAGTAACAAGTAAAATCTGAGATTTTATACCTCTGGGCTTTTTATTGTATATTCTTATATGCTGTTTGTTATGAATAATTGATGGTGTTAAATTTTATGTGTTAGATTTAGCTGTTCAGGTTGTGTTAACACAGGTCAACATTTCATCTGCAGCTTATAACATGTACCCATGAAATTATGAAATTCTATTTAATCTCCCGCAAGGAACTCGTAATGAAACTCAGAATGACAACCATAACCGTTAAATCAGACGTTAAAACCACAAATATTTTGATCGAAAACATGGTGATGGGTTCCGAAATGTCACATACAGAAGCTTGCTGCTTATAGTACGTCAAATAGAAAAGGGTTACTTTACAGGAATATAGGCACGTATGCAAAACTTTGCATAATACTCATTTGCATACTTGTGACTCGCTACCTTTACCAGACACCGTGCCCCCGTATTGACACTTCCGGATTCGATCCACGTAAAAAAAACACCATAAATCCACAAAGAAATATATATTTTCACCAAAGGTTTTTTGAATTGTGCATATTTTCACTGAATCTGGCTATCCAGACCTGGAAAACAGCGTTTTGGTGCATATTTTTAAACAAAGAATGTATCGATACCGGACACCCCTCTGTGCGAAAGGTCATGCAAGTGGACGAGTCTTGTAATACTTTAAATACACCAAAGGTCAAATGTTGAAACCATTTTCACGCTCAAAGGGGTGTTTTGGGGCCACCAATAGGCACCATTTCCCCGCCCAAAAACACATATACAACAAAAACAAAAGAACGTGCATCATCTACAGCCCAATAGCAAAACATACACAGAGTCTCAAAAGAATCCGTCCACCCAAACGCGAGAAAACAGCTGCGAACGTGAAAATCTAAATCTCTCACAAAGCCCTTCTGCGGAAGGATGTCTCCTCTCCCGGAGGCAACAAAGATTTTGGTTGCTAAGAGAATGTAAACTGTCTTGTGATAGACATGCCTACTATTATTGGTCTGTACGCTATTTTGGATCACCCTAGCACAATTCTTTATCACAAACCTCAGTATGTTCGTGCAGCATTAAAAACACACTCACTCACTCACTCACTCACTCACTCACTCACTCACTCACTCACTCACTCACTCACTCACTATCCTGTTGAGAAAAAGTTCCTGCATTGTTCTTTGTGAAAAAGCTAAAATTAAATCCTATTTCCCATGGGTTACACATTTGGCTCCTGAGTGTTTTGAAGATAAATGATGTTCTTAATATATTGGACAACTGCTAGTGCTACATTACTGCGAATGTTTTTAAACATTTACTTTCGACCTAAGGAAAGCCAAAGAAAATGATTGGTGCAGGTACATTTACAATGCACACCTTGTCTGGTACAGGTAATTGTATACAGTATGTTCCTAGCAGCTGTGCAGGTGTGCCCTGCAGCTGAACAGGTGTGCCCTGCAGCTGTACAGGTGTGCCCTGCAGCTATACAGGTATGCCCTGCAGCTGTACAGGTGTGCACTGCAGCTGTAAAGGTGTGCCCTGTAGCTGTACAGGTGTGCCCTGCAGCTGTGCAGGTGTGCTCTGCAGCTGTGCAGGTGTGCCCTGCAGCTGTGCAGGTGTGCCCTGCAGCTGTACAGGTGTGTCCTGCAGCTGTACGGGTGTGCCCTGCAGCTGAACTGGTGTGCCCTGCAGCTGTACAGGTGTGCCCTGCAGCTGTACAGGTGTGCAGATGTGCCCTGCAGCTGTGCAGGTGTGCCCTGCAGCTGTGCAGGTGTGCCCTGCAGCTGTGCAGGTGTGCCCTGCAGCTGTGCCCTGTAGCTGTACAGGTGTGCCCTGCAGCTGTACAGGTGTGCCCTACAGCTGTACAGTTGTGCCCTGCAGCTGTACGGGTGTGTCCTGCAGCTGAACTGGTGTGCCCTGCAGCTGTACAGGTGTGCCCTGCAGCTGTACAGGTGTGCCCTGCAAAAAGAGGAGTGTTCCCAACTGTACGCACCTCCTGTCTGCTCTTATCAGCCTCTCGATGAGCCTCGTTCAGCTCCATTCTCCACTCTATAGCCTTGTTGTCTGTTTTGTCCTTCTGTGCCTGGTACTTCATCTCAAACTCACGATTTGCCGCCTCAAGTCTGTTGACTTCAGCTGTCAACTTGGTGGTCTCCTTCCTGGCTCTGTGCAGACAAGTACAAGTACAAGGTAACTGTCACAAAGTATCAAGATTACATGATGCTAAACAAGCCATCTGAACATTGCTATATGTATATTTCAGCCACTTACAAGACACCTAAAATTGCGCATTTTCAGTTCCGTAAAGACAACACCACACCAGTATAATTTCACTGTAGGGAAAAGCTGTGCCTTTCCTGGTGGTCTCCCTCAGGTGTGTTATACAACTTCCTGCAATCTCTCAAACTATGGCCAAACATGCAATACTTCAGCTGACAGTGGCTACCTTTGCAATGGAACCACCTGACCAGTTTGGGGGGGATTCGCCCACTCATCCAATGCCAATGAACACCAGACAAGTTTTACCTGCAGTGCAAGTTCTCTGCTGTCTTTAATGATGCTACTTTGAAGGACATACATGTACATGTAAGACCTGTTTTTGCCCCCAGCACTGTAAAGTTTAGGGCTGGTTTGATCGGCTGGTAGACTGTACAGCACATGCAGGTGGTTTTTCAAGCCCTGCAGATGCACTACCCACCTGTTGAGGTCCTCTTCCAGACTCTGTACCCTCTTCCTCAGGGTACCGCATTCTTCTTTGTACGACATTTCTGGATAAACATGACAGCAGGAGTTATGCTGGTTAATGAGGTCAGGAGGAGGGAAGGTGACTATGAGTTTCAAATCAAACTGTTAGTTACCACTGTCCAAAAACACAATGACGGTATTAAAGATTCACCTTACATGTAACTTAATCTTAATTAAACATTTCTGATTTGCTGTTTTTCTGATGTTACTATACTGTCATATCTGCAGACACTGGCTCAGGAACGCCCCCCCCCCCCCCAGGTCCCTATTAACAGCAGTCTGAAGACAGGCAATGAAAACTGTGACACAAGGCAGTCAATGGGCATACAGTGGGCAATAGATAGTCTGTTGGAAGATTTAGATTTTCAACTTTGCATATCTCATTGAGGAAAGGCAAAAGATGCAAGAAAAGACAGATACCCTGTTAGGCACTGGCTCCTCAGTCGAGTTCTGCATAAGTAATGTAGGTTATGTACAATCATGTTTAAAGTAAAACTCTTGTTCCAACACAAAAAATTCTCTCACCTAGAGCTTTTGACCAGTCACTCTGGTCTTCCTTAGTAGACTGACCCAGTGAAGCTTGTTGTCACGTGGCTTCTTTGAAGTGTGACTTCAACACTGGGTCAAAGCTATCTGGTAGACGATGTCGACCCCCGTCGCGGTTCAATGTAGGGTGATGGGCCCTGATGTATATGGCTTCCTTCACCCCTCTTTTAAGAAATAGTCTTGTTCAGTGTCTAAAATCCTTACAGTTACACTTCAAAGAAACCACGTGACAAGCTTCACTGGGTCAGTCTACTGAGGAAGACCAGAGTGACTGGTCGAAAGCTCTACATGACGTAGGTGAGAGAATTTTTTGTGTTGGAACAAGAGTTTTAACTTTCAACATGTAACTACCAACACAGATGAACTTTCATGATAGGTAATGTACATGTTTGTACCTTTGTTTTTGCCACCTTGCTCACTGTTCTTCCTGACTCTGTTGTCCTTATTGTCCTGTGTGACCTTTAACCTCTCCAGCTCACACTGACACTCCTGCAGTTGTCCTGCACACACATGACAAATCAACACTTCAATCACAACATTTACCTACATGCTCATATATTCTTAAGGCCACAGCAAGTAATTTTTATGGATGACATCAGCGCGTGCATGAATTTTCGCCTGATTTTGAAAAAAAAAAAAGAAATTTTGTTGCCTTCTGACAGTGGTCAACATGCCAAAAATGGGCTAAGATGTCTGCTGCCATGCCGGAATCTGGATGGCAGATAACTATAAAGAGAGGAGACAAGAAAATACTGTGATTTAATGTTTTGTTTCTTTACTTTGATGCAGTGATATGTGATGTTGGCTGTGTATATGTGATGTTCCCACTGAATGAAAACCATCTGTACAATGATTGAGTCAAATTCTTAAAATGTAGGAACCTTGTTTTTTTTCGGCCCGCCTTGTTTTTTTTTTTGCCCGCTCGCATTAGATTTAGAGTATGTGGAGGATGTCATCCAGAAAATTTACTTGCTGTGGCCTAACATACATGTAGGTCTTATTTTCAACTATGTTCAATAGTTGTTGCCATACATTGTACCATGTGCAATTGTCATGCAATAAAATTCTTCTATGTTGATGAAGGTTAGACATCCATGTAAATAATACATTAATATACAAAATAAGTATATATATTCAAAAACTGGATAAAGCTTTAAGACTCTAACAAAGATACACATTTTGCAGCCTCTGCTGTCTTTTATCATAGATCAATGTCTGATGCATTGCTGACATGCTTTCTCTACTATCATCATTCCACCCTTACATTATTGCCCCAGTCTGAATCTGTACAACACAGGGGTGTGTCTGTCTTACCTCTCAGTTTCTCCGCTTCATTCTGGCTTTCCTTACTACTTTGTTGCGCTCTTACAAGTTGCTCTGTGAAGTCACATAAAAAAAACAACAAATCAATAACAGTTACTGCTTTTGCTTTCTGCACGTGACATAAAGTGTAGCAAGACATCAAAATCAAACAAGAACTTTCTTGTGAAAACGGACCCAGAACTACTAAAAGACAGACCAGTCACATGTTTCTTACCTTTTAGGTTTTTTGCTTCTTGGTGATTTTCCTTGGAAGCCCTCTCTTCTTCTATCAGGCGATCTAGTGTTTAAGGGATACATGGCACATGTCAAATCACTGACTTAAGACAGTGACTTACATGTAGATATCATTTTTTTAAAACTCTCTCAATAGATACATATTTTGCAATATAGATGAAAACCGTCTAAGATATTGTGATTATATACATGAAATATTGCATTGCAATGTATTATAGTGTAAAAAACCCTGCAGATTATAATTAAACTTTGTATCACTAATATATTAGGGATTATAAATAAACAAACAACATAAAAAGAGATGATGGGGCAAAATTTGTTCTTTCTGACATTTGGACAACCTTTGCAGTTTTATTTTAGTTTTTGTCCCTTTGTAGTCTTCCTGTACCACCACTATGTCTTTCGTTTGTCTGAAAGTATGTTATATCAGACGTTAAGGTTGAGAGAGAGAATTATCCTAAGTTGTCATGAGAACAATCAGTATGTTAGAAGGCAAAGGTTAGATTCTGCATTGTACAGATTCTGAAGTTTGCAACAACAACCAAAAATAAACTTACACATTTACAAACATCTCAGGCAAGGCTGCACTCAATTTTAGCAATGTGTACAGTATCACAAAACTCAAACTTTTTCCCAAGTGTACTGATCCATTTTGTAACACCCTTACATGTGTACATGTACATGTACATGACTGTACCGTGGACTCTTCTCAAAACTAGACATGTTCAGCTTGAACATGGCAGGAATAGACCACACCATTTTTGTTAGAAGAGTGGCAAGATTAGATGGAAGTGTTTGTAAGAAGGTTTAAGGAACACCGCAGCCCAAGAACTGACCTCTCAGAGCAAGAATCTGTTGCTTGACATCATGTGCAGTACCTTCAGCCTTGTTAAGCTGGTCTGTTGTTTGCAAAGGAAAAAAAAAGAGACAGAAGAAAAAAGTACTGAGAGTGCACTTATAATAAACATGGTGATGCTAATGTGGCATTTACACATGAACTAAGATCACATTGATTGAACGATTGAATTTCTTGGTTCTTGCATTTTTGCTATTTTCAGGAAATTTGAAACTGATGAAGTGAGTGGGGCAGGTGAGTAAACGGGAGACATGATAAAAAGAAACAGACATCCTGGAATTGACCCAAATGCTGCAAGACCCACAATGTCAACATTCCAATTTTGAAAAGAACATAATACTGAGAAATGGAAATTCCAATAAAGGAACTTTCTTTGTAGGCACCAGGATATTTAGCATTTTGGGGTTTTGATTAAAATTCATTTCCTGAATGGTACATGAAGCAGGCAAATCCAAGAACCATGAAATCAAACTGGTGGGGTTTAAAGTAAGGCTACATGTGTACATTTGTACTATGCATGTATTCTTACAGAGATGGGAAATAGTTACTATATAGGTTTGCTAATAAAGGAAGGTATAAAAAGAAAGATTTTTGCAACATACACATCGGGAAACAACACACCAGCTTTCACCAGCACACACCTTTCTCCTGATTTGAACACCATATCATTAAAAAATCCTTCTTCCTGGGGACTCATTTTGCAAGGTAAAAATGATGTGGTCATTATTGACTTGACTAATTGCAACTCAAGTTGAATGCAGTCATGTTAGATGAGCAGGAAAACTTCCCATGTGACAAGGTGCCAGCTGCACTGCCTGGTTCCCTGGCTGGTTTAGGTGCTACTCTGATTACATGTAGGTCCAGGTGAAACAAGAGGTGAATAGTAAAGTCTACCCTGACTCCAGGGACACCAGCCAAACGACCCACACATACATGTGTGTACGTGTATTAGACAATTCAAGTTGGCTGTGCTTGAACACAGACTGTTACCCTGGCAATAACCTTCATATAAAGTATACCACCTGACGTTGCCAACAGGCTGAGACACTTTTTGAATTTTGTAAGGTTAAATTGTGCGTAATTTAATTGGGAATTTACAGTGGTTGATTTAGAAATAAAAGACGAGCATCTTTCCTACCAATTATACGACATTCAGGGAAATAAAAAATGAACATTCCTGAAAATACAATGTAAAGTAGCATCTGTCAGACAGGTATATTTGGCAAAAAGAAATTACTCAAAAGGCAGAAAAACAAAAGAGCTACAGAATTGTTCCATGTCTGTACATAATTTTGTTCGTTGTACAGAAGCCCAGAATGGGCGACCAAACTGTACCTTGTAGTTCAAAACAATGGTTGGAGCGCTCCCTAGCGATAGACTGGGTCTCCTGCAGCTGTTCTCTCAGCTGGCGGATCTCCTCCAGACGTTGTCGGGTGTCGCCCTGAGCTGCAACCAACTCCCCTGCAGGAGAACATTTATTCATATTAAAACATATTAAGGCCACACCAATTCAATTTCTTGGTTAACGGATTTTTAAAGAAAAATAATGGAGCGGGAGGGCGAAAAAAATAAAAACAGGCCTACACATCCTATTATGGCCCAAAATGGTACGATAGAAGCCATGAAGTCAACACACTAGGCTGGTTCAAAATCTAAACAATGAATTTTAAACTTTTAATGATACCACTGCATTGAAAGATAGAATAACTGTAACAACTAGGTAGAAAAGGACTGTTTTCATCTGTTCAGGGCAAAATATGAGCATTTTGCAGTTGATTCTGAATTTTTATTTTTATTTGCAATTGCAAATCAGAAAAAAATGAAGCGGGCGAATCCGTTAACCAAGATATCAAATTGGTGTGGCCTAAGACAACAAGAACACATTGACTGGTGACTTAAGATATCAATCCAGAGACCAGACTGTTGGTTTGAACCACTCACACCAGAAAGGCCCGCCTGGTCTTTTCAACACAATGTACAATGTCAGTGGAGTGGGATCTTTGTTCTTGAGGTGTGACTCTCCTCAAAAATGGGACCTCCAGCTTCATGTCCTATCTGAAAAGGTGTCCCTAGCAGGCCTTGAAATTAACTTTTTTTACTATTATCCCAGAATTGTCCCAAAAAAAGATTTCAATGGTCAAGAAACTGAGGATGGACTGTCCCAGCCTGCTTTTTAGGAAATAAGTTTATGACAACAATAAGAAAATAACAACAACTGAATTTGTACAACTTGAAGTCCACTTTATTAGTAAATGTCCATCATTTTTCCCAGACTGTAGGGAAATACATGATAGTATCATGGTGCGGCACCATCTTTGAGGCCCCCCTCCCTGACATTTGGAATCCCTGATAGGTGAAATTAAAAAAAAAAATTGTACAGAAAAAAGGGAATGCCAACCTGCCAACCCTAATTTTATTGTGACTAAAATAGGAAACACAACATTTTTCCGTGGCCTAACATACCTCTAAGTTCCTCCAGCTCGGATTTGTCTTCAAAGTTGATGTCATCAAGATTTCCATTTTGTGTGGCCTTTTCTGTGTTAGGGACAGGCGAGAGGTACAGAGGGCTGGGTTAGAGTTAGGATGAGCTGGGCTGGGGTATCATAACGAAAGCAACCTGACTTGTAGCTGTACAATTTCTTCACTGCAGACTATGTGTGATATCGCATTCTTCAGCATATATTGAGTACAAGTCTTTTAAGATTTGCAACCAAACGGCAACTGGCTGACTACAATCCTTTCCTTTAACTAAGGATACTTGGGCATACATTGTACAAACACATACAAAGGACATCTAAAGGCATTCAAAATATTATTCTTAATATGGACAATCATGATGTTCAGAAGATTGTAATTGGCTCATTCTCATTGAAGTGTACAAAAAGGGTAACAAATGTTACAACATTGCACATTTTGTACACTCCACACATGTACATGTACACTCCATACATGTACATGTACACTCCACACATGTACATGTACGCTCGGCATACCTTCAGTTTGCAGCCCAGAATTAGAAGCTTCCTCTGTGCCTGGCCTTAACCTGGCTTCCAGTTCTGCTGATTTGGCCAGTCTGTCTTCTGCTCTTTTTAATGTTTCTTTTGTTTCAAGGAGCTCTTCTGTAATGTAATAGCAAAGGTCAGAAATTACTTAATAATTCTTCATCATTATCATACCTGTAGCTTGAAAGTTCATTTTGGTATAAGTCAGTCTGAAACTGTAACTTCCAACACAAAAAGTTAGACTAACCAAATTTTCTACTGTTGAACTTGACAAGGAATAAGTAACCCACTGCTTCTGTGATGCCAGTAGGTAGTCAGTAGAGTTGGTGGGTATGTTCACATGTGTGTTCACAACAATCTCAACCCAAACAAGTTCACATTTGAGAAGAAAGAGAACAGGTTATTTTCTTTGGATGCCTTAACAACAGTAGAACAGGATGGGTTCCTACATATATGTGTGAAAATATGCCGTAAACCAAAACATACCAACCAATACCACTCAGACCATCCTGACCAGAAACTCTGACAGATTCATATCCTTTTCAATACAGCATAAATAAGAATGAAAATCTGAGATTTTATACCTCCGGGCTTTTTATTGTATATTTTTATATGTTGTTTGTTATGTATATAGTTGATGGTGTTGAATTTCATGTGTTACTGTGTTAGATTTAGCGTTCCTTGTTGTGTTAACAATTGTTGCGCGCCGCAGGACTAGGGTTTCAAACAAAGAATTTATCGAGACCGGACACCCCTCTGTGTGAGGGGTCATATACGTGGACCAGACCAAGAATATTTTAAACACGCCAAAGGTCAACGGTCGCGACCATTTTCACGCTCAAAGGGGTGTTCTGGTGCCACCAACAGGCACAATTTTCATGCCCGAAAACACATACATGTATACAATAAAAACAAAAGAACGTGCATCATCTACAGCCCAATAGCAAAACATATACCGAGTCCAAAAAAAATCCATCCACCCAAACGCGAGAAACAGCTGCGAACATGAAAATCTAAATCTCTCACAAAACCCTTCCATGGAACTGACCCTCAAAACAAAGAGGAGAAGAAGAAACCCATCACACAGACTCGAGAAAGTGTGGGTTCCCCACATGGGCAACAGACAAGGCTAAAACCTGCACATCACCCTAACTCTCATCACTAAAGCACCAAGGACACGGAGGTTCAGTGGTCCTGCCTAGTTGTCCCAGCCTAAATTTTAGTGGTCAGTGGCCATCGGACCACCTTAAATTTTGAGCCCTGACTAAAGTAGAAAACTCACCTCTCAATCTTTGCACCTGTTCAGCTGTGCACCTGCTATCCAGCTGCATGTCTTCAGTCTGTGCACAGGTGGCACTGTCGTGAACATGATTATTGAGCTCTGTACCCATTGCCTCCTTCTGAACCAGGTCCTTCCTCAACCACTGCAGGTTCTGACGTTCAGACTGGGACAACTTGTCTAGTGGGGGGGGGGGGCAAATTCAACAATTTTACAATTTTGAGAGAAAAGGGAAACTAACTAATAGTTCCTTCCTTGCTGGGAAAGCAAATGATTTTTTCAAAGTATTTCTAAGAAGTGCACATCCATTCTTACCTTTCAGCTGTTTAATGATCTCGTTTTTTGCTTCATTCTGAAGTTTAGATTCCTCTAGTTGCCCTGTGAATGACAAGACAGGAAGGTTACTATTTTTTTGTAAGTGACCCCAGAACCTGCATGACCCTCTAACCTGACAACCCCCCTCCCACCTCGCATAAATATACATGTTGTACAATCCCTACTGGACCAGAAAAGCAAAAATAACTTCTAGGTTGATAATACACAGTGCAGGTATATGCATGTACCTGTACATTGAAAAAAACGAGAGCTCCCATAACATATCAGACACTCACTTCTGATTTCGGTAAGTGCTGACTCCACTAGTTCTTCTGCTCTGTCTTCAAAACTGGACAGCTTTTCTGCAGGTGCAATGATCTTTATGTCAGAAATGTTACAGATGGGAACTAGAGTAACTGGGACCCACATCTTCCCTACCTGTCTGGTAAAATCATATCACATTTGTAAATTAGCATAATCTTCACTTAACTAAAGTCATATGCTGACCTACATGTACATGTAACTGTGCAATAAACAAAACTATTGTTTACAACAAAGTATTTTCTACTTAAGTAACAGAAACATTTTGGGAACAAGACTTTGCAGACGGAGGGGTGCCATGGACCAGATCCTGTCCTGAGTGTTTGGGCACACAGGTAGGCGTCCGTGTATGTGTGTGTGTGTGTGTCTGTCTGTAAACACGATAACTTGAGAAGGCTTAAATGGATTGACTTCATATTTGGTAGGTGGGTGGTTCTTGATGAGACCTCGAAATGATTAGATTTTGGGCCCCCTAGCGGCTTCTAATGGTACTGCAGCTGAACTTCCGGTTTTGATATCTCATGATCTGGACGTGCTAGGGTCATGAAATTTGGATGGTAGGTAGGCCTTGTGCTCGGGAAGAAGTAACGTAGGTTTGGGCCCCCTAGCAGCTTGCTCAGGAACTGCAGGGACATTTCTTTGAAACTATTCAAAACAGGATAACTAAAGAACCGGTGGACGGATCTTCATGATTTTTGGTATGTAGATAGCTTATGTGACGCTTGATATAATTATGTGACAATTATGCAAATCTGGATGTAATTTGCATAATTAATGAGGAAATTTGATAAATCAGCTGCATTACATTATAGGACTATTCAATCTGGTGGCATGTAATTGAGAACGAGAGAAACACAGGCAGATATTAATTATGTAAATAAACACTTAATTTGCATAATTAATGAGAAAATGTTATAATTCCATAATGGTTACTGCCTAGAATTTCATACTTTGGGTATTTAAAAGTTAAGTGAAGCTGAACATCATTAAACATAACTTATTCAAATAAGGACCTCATTTGCATAATTTATGAGGAAATGATAGAATGGCTTTCTTTGTTAAGATAAGGCTGTCTTTTGATGGAGAATATGATCAACTGATATAATTCATGCAAATTAGGATGCTATTTGCATAATCAGGAGGAATCATCTTTGTCAGTCATAAAGATTAACATCATTTGGCGAAGGTATGAGATCGTGGGACTCTAGTTTTATGTACGCAAAAATTTAAATGATTTCCAGTCTTACAAGTTGGTGATCATGCATAAAACAGTATCAGCATTCAGAATTGTTATTTCAAAGCCTGCATGACTCAAAGGCAGTTCACAATGCAGGTCTCCAGTGCACTTTTGATGTGTCAAACTGTGCTGTAGGGCACAGTCATATACAATGCTTCATTCTGACACTGCACATGTACTTTTCTAAACACTAACTGATAGCAGCTCTTTTCTTACCTTCTAAGTCAGCAACTTGTTGGGCACTAGTGTTGGCGTCTTCCTGGGCTCTGTCTAGCTGACCTGTACGAAGGAGAACGAGCACTGCTACATTTTGTTTGTAATGACCAAATTTTGTTCTTGGATGTAAAATTTATCTCTCTTGTGCTCTCATCCTGTATTATACAAACCCATTTCAAATTATATTTTTAACATCACAAAGAAACGACTCACGAGAAGAAGCCGAACTTCTCTATTAGAGTAGCTTTAGAGCTGTTTGTACTACAAACATGTATATTACCCATTTCATCTGTACTTAGCCCGATAGGGCATGAATGTACATGTACAATAAAGGTTATTATTATTATAATGTAGCCACAGGAACACACTGACAGGCAGACACCAGTGTTTCCGCCAGAGGGCCGTCCACCCGTCATATGACGGCCTGGTGTCGTTTTGGACGGCCTGAACTCGGACAGAGGCCGTCCTCTTAAAAAATCTCGAGACTCGGAAAAATCAGAGAAATTGACAGTCTTTGTTTTGTTGCTGTAGACGAGAACGCCGTCCAAGGCAAGAAAGACACACGTTGTTTGTTTTGCTATTGTTATCATGCTGACGAACAATTGATGTCGGCGCCTTTCGCATACGTTAATCTCATTAAAACCCGTTTTTCAAGTCTCCATCCGGTAAAATGTATCCACAAACATTTTTCCTCGAACAGAATCATTTCGGATGTGAAAATTCTCCTTTGGGAGTTACGTTTTCGTTTTTGATGGTCTTGTAGCGGGCGGGTTGCATGAAAATCCACGCCGCAGTTCGCTATCCACGCCGCGGTTCGCTAACACTTCCGGCTTGCTTGAATATGCGAAAGGCACCACAAATCGGCATATGGATGCATACATTTTCCCAAAAATTCTTCATAATGAATTTCTTTAATGGAATGTTACTAATTAGCGGTAGAAACACCGTAGAAAGTAACGTAGTGTAACTCTCTTCGCCAACAAACAAATTCTACAGCTATGCCGGCAAAAATGGCTCTATCCAATCAGAGCGCAGGTCATATGAGGTCAACCAATCAGAGCGTAGAGTTTACGCTGCTACTTACATATTAATGACAAAATGGCGAGGTTAAGAATGTGTGCTGCAAGTTTATTTTTCCGGCGATTTTCTGACTTTTAACGCCGATTTTTCGCACGCTACGATCACGCTACCATTTGACACTGTACTGGAGACAACAGATGAGTGATCATTTTACAATCAAGGAGCATTTTTGTTGAATGAAACAGGAATGAAAGCTACGATACAGCCAATTATTTTTCAAAATTTGTCTCGTGTATGAGAGATAAGATGACGTTTCTTTACATGTTTTGATGTATTTTTGGCTTGATATTAACGAGTAATTCGTAGCGGAAATATACGGAAGAAGTACGAGTTCGAACGAAGCAAGGCTCTTCACTATTAAAAATCCGGCTAACGCGGGCGCTACCGGAGGTTATGATGCCGATGTTTGGAGTTTTGCAGCAGAGTTTTGCAACTATAATTTCCTGACGATACGTTTGCCATCTGTAACAGTGTTTTTATGTCAATACAAAAAAAATGTGGAATGCTTGTGGACAGTTTCAACTTGTAAACAAGTGTAAACAAATGCCCCGCCCCCTCAGTTAATTT